GCCGGTTGAGCTATAGGCGCCGAGCCGTTGTCCAGGATTCTTATTGGTGTTTTTCACATAGGCCTGGGTGGCTACCTACATGGATGACCTTAGTCTTCAGCCCTTCTACAGGTGGAGTTGATACTGCATGACCCAAGTCCCCACCACTAAGCACATTGGAAGACCATCTGGTGGGACACAAAGCTCCCAGGTAAACACAGACACAGATATTTCCTCCCAGCAGCTTAGAGCATAGGACAGGCCCCTCTTTGGGCAAGGTTTAGTTCTTTACCATTACAACTTTGATTAACCTCATAGAACTGCAAATGGCACTAGCTAAAAGTGTATCTATGCTGCTGTGTGTTTAAATGAGTGGATCCCAACATAAACTATGAACTTTGGGTAATAATAATGTATCAGAGTGGGTTCATCTATGTAACAAATGTACAGTTCTGGTGGGAGATGTTAACATGTTAATGATGGAGCGAGCTGTTCATGTGTGGGGGCGGGTGGTGTATGGGAAATCTCTGTACCTTCTGTTCAATTTGCTATAAACCTAAAGCCACTGTAAAAAATTAGACCTCTTTTTAAAGAATTGAAAACACTTAAATGCTCTCACATAGATAATTCATTGAATAATTCAACCCAAAGCTGATTCAGTAGAATTCCACATAGCCATGAGTAATTAACGGTGACCATGCAAGCCGTGGTTCTCCCATGGGAGTCCAGGACCCACAGGTAAGGGCTGGGGAGTGCTTCAGAGGAGATGAAACTAGAAGATTCTCTTTCCATATTTTCTTGGGGCATCATTTGTACTGCTAATCCGGCCAATTAAATAACATCAGTGGTAACTACTGTTATTTTCCCATCATAATTAATACAGATGAATTTTAAGTTGGCTGCAAATATTCATAGGTACAGCAGAAGATGTCAGAGCTGTTTTATAAACCACTGAATACCTGAAGGTGTAGATTCAACTTCCTCTGACTTCATTTGGTTTTTAAGTTTGAAGTCCCAAAGCTGCAGATGCTGGCGTGGATGTGGAGAGAAGGAATCATTTTTACTCAGTTGATGGGATTGTAAACTAATACAGCCTCTTTGGAAAGAACTATGGAGAATACTCAGAGAACACAAAATAGACCTTCCATGTGATCCCACAATCTCGTTACTGGGCAAAAAAGAAAAGAAAACATTTTATCATTTTATCGTTTATCCCATACATTTGCACTAGATTGTTTATTGCAGCTCAGTTTACAATCACCATGATGTGGAAACAACCCAAGTGCCCATCAACCCGTTATTGGGTTAATAAACAGTGGTATAATGGATACCATGGAATACTATTCAGCCATAAAAAGATGGAGACTTTACATCAGGGGCCCTCAAACTTTTTAAGCAGGGGGTCAGTTCACTGTCCCTCAGACCATTGGAGGGCCAGGCTGCAGGCCCCGGGACAAGTTGGCTGCTAAGCAGGATAGGCAGCGGCAGCAAAAACACCCGGTGGGCTGGATAAATGTCCTAGGCGGGCTGCATGTGGCCCGTGGGCCATAGTTTGAGGACGCCTACTTTACATCTTTTTGTATTAACCTGGATGGAGCTGAAATAGATTCTTCTTAGTAAAGCATTATAAGAATGAAAAAGAAAGTAGCCAATGTACACAATCCTACTATGAAGCCAGTAGATGAACTAACACACACCCACATAAGAGAAAAAGTCAATTCAATTCAAGTCAGGGGGAAAGGGGAAGAGGATTGGTGTACTCCCAAGTAATGGGCACAATGCAAGGGTGTATGGCACGCTTCCTGGGTGTGGGACATAACTACAACAGGGACCTTGCCTAACAAATGCAAACATTGTAACTTAATCATTTGTACCCTCATATTAATCTGAATTTTTGTTTGTTTGTTTTGAGACAGAGTCTCATTTTATCGCCCTCGGTAGAGTGCTGTTGTGTCATAGCTCACAGCAACCTCAAACTCTTGGGCTCAAGTGATTCTCTTGCACCAGCCTCCCGAGTAGTTGAGTCTACAGGCACCCACCACAAGGCCCAGCTATTTTTTAGAGATGAGGTCTCCCTCTGGCTCAGGCTGCTTTCAAACCTGTGAACTCAGGCAATCCACCTGTCTCAGCCTCCCAGTGCTAGGATTAAAGGCATGAGCCATTGCGCCTGGCCCCTATTAATCTGAAATTAAAAAAAATTAAAGTTTGAAGAGTCCTAATAGAGAAGCATATATAATGACACGATTTCACTTTGATAAAAAAAAAATGTGTATGTGCATAACTATACTGTATATAATACATCAAAACTGAGAAGATACTTAGAAAAAAAAGCCAGAGGTGTCTCTGGGTAGTCAAACTATTAGTGGTGATTTTTAAAAATAGCATTCATTAAATTGTAATAAGTGATTTTGTATTTATTTTATATAATTAATATTTGTAGTTTTTATAAACGCAAATGATATATATGGATAAATGTTGTTGACTCGTGACTAACACAGGCTGTAACTGTATAAGGCCACTTATACACAGATGTTTTTCAATAAATATACTGGAAAATTTGGGGAAGATTTTTAACAACTTAGCATAACCTATAAATATCAAAAAATGAAGAGAAAGGTGTGTCATGAATACATGAAATCCATGTAGCTACGAGTACTCTGCTGGGCCATTAACTATCCCAAAATACCCCTGAGCCAGTAAGACCAACCTCTCCCCGGCCTCCTCCTCCTCAGCCTACTGAGAATGAAGACTTGGTGATGATCCACTTCCACTTAATGAATAGTAAGTATATTTTTTCTCCTTTATGGTTTTTTTTTTTTTGGCCAGGGCTAGGTTTGAACCCACCACTTCCAGCATATGGGGCTGACGCCCTACCCTTTTGAGCCACGGGCACCGCTCTCCTTTATGGTTTTCTTAATAACATTTCCTTTTCTCGAGTTTGCTTTATCATAAGAATATAGTATGTAATACATATAACATTATACAAATTACATGTTGATTGAATATGTCATCCCTAATGTGGCTGTCAACAGTATTTTGTAGTTACATTTTCGGGGAGTCCAAAGTTACACGTGGAGTTTCTTCTGTATGAGAGGTATCCGTGTCCCTAACCCTCACATTATTCAAGGGTCAACCGTGTATAAATATACAGTAATTACTAACAATAATATGTATATTGCATTTTCCAAATTGTCTATAGTAAATGCATTTCTTTTGTAGTTAAAAAGGTAGCATGTGCTTTTATAAAAATGAAAGACATATATACTTTCCCAAGCACAGTCTGAAAAACCTTGTGGATTGAACACTTCTGAGTTGTTCTCTCTCTCATCTCCACTTTCTTCCCATCATTGCCCCTGTGCACGTCTCCCCTCCTCCTCCCTCACTCCCCTCTGTGGGGAGCTCACACATGCCCTTTGCTCCTCATCCCAGCATTACCCCTAATGGTGATTGTTAGGATGAGCCCAAAAGTCCAATACCAGGGAACGGGTCACACACACACGTGGTTCAGGTCTGTGACAGCACGCACTGCAGTTATTCAGAACAGCCGTGGGGAATATTTAATGAAGCTGGGAAGCAGTTCACTACAGAGGGGGAAAGAAGCCACTTATAACACTGGACAAGGCAAATTAAAAACCGGACAAGCCAGGCACGTTGGTTCTTGCTTGTAATCCGAGCACTTTGGGAGGTCTAGGTGGGAGGATGGCTTGAGTCCAGGAGTTGGAGCTGCAGTGAGCTGTGATCTCATCACTGTACTCCAACCTGGGTGACAGAGTGAGACCCTGTCTGTAAACAAAACAACAAACAAAACTTGGGTGAAGAACTGAACATCAACAAATTTTATGTCTTGTCTTTTCTGTATTTCCCTGTTTTCCCAACAGTAAGCTTTTGTGGGTTTTTTAATAACCAGAAAAAAAAATAACATAAATAAATATAAAAATAAATAAATAATAAAGGAAGGCAACATAAAGCCATAAAGATAAGGGCTCATTCCCAAGAGTCCCCCTCCCCCAGGCCCCGCCCTGGCTGGTCAGAGTCCACTCTGGGAGGAAAGGCTGCCCTGGAGGGCTGGGGAGACGTCACCAGCAGCCTCTGGGCCTGAGACACAGGTCTGTGAAGGGCAGCCGTGTCTCTGCAAAGACCCCTCGTCCTGGAGGACCCTGAACAGTACATGGACCTTCCCAGCCCTAGGTGCAGCCTGTGGAGGGGCCTCGTGCTAGTGGGTAAGAGAGTGCTGACCCTGCTCCCAGGGCTGAGGAGAGGGCAGCCTGGATCAAGAGTGGGGACAGAGCTAGGACCACCCCACCTAGGGGCACAGGTGAGACTCTGAGAGCAGGGGTGGAGGGAAGAGAGGGGACAGGGTCACACCAGGACTTTGATGAGCTCAGGCATTTGGGCTCACAGACGCAGCATGTTTCTCTCTCTCTTTCTCTCTCTCTCTCACACACACACACAAACACACACACACACACACATAGATATTTTCATGCACCCCCAGGAGTGACAAGCTTGGACCCCCCCCCACCCTCACCTCCCTGCAGTTACCTTTTGGATATCCCCATCTTCCAAGATTCCTTCCTCGCACTCGCTCTCAGCCCTGATCCCTTACCAGCCCGACCTTCCCCCAGACCCCTCCATACCCCCAACATACACAACTTTCATGCTTCTCCAATGGCAATCTCATTTTCTGCCCTTGGACATGTACTGTGTCCACACCCCAAGGCCAGGAGCCGGGGCCTTGGGTATCTCTGCCTTCTCTCCACATACAGGACTTCACAGAGCAGTGGCCTTTGCCCTCTTGTAGTGATGGTGGGCTCCTACCCATTCCAGTAGATTTGACGCTAAGTCATAGACATTTGTAGACAGTCTCAGGGGAGTATTTGTCACCCAGACAATCACTGCTGAGTACTCTCCCGTCTCCTACCTTATGCCTGGGGCAGCTGGAGACTCGGTGGTGCCCACTGAGGGGAGCCCAGCCCTGCCCTCATGGAGTTCACAGATGTATCACCAAACTCTGATGACTCCCAGAGGTCAAGGCTGGGTGGGATGAGGGTAGCCCCACAGGCTGGGGAGCCCAGAGAGGCCACCTGAGTCAGGCTGGGCAGGAGGAGACTGAGAGCCAATGGATGAGTAAAGTGAGTCATCGAGGAGGATACAGAGAGCAGCAGGTAGCAGGATTAGTGTGTCAGGAATGGGGAACAGGATGTTCAAAGCCTATAGGAAGGAGGGCATGTAGTGACTCAAGAGAGATGTATGTATAACTGGGCACAGAGTGTGGAAGTCATGACTTCTGGTAAAGAAATACAAGAATGAAAGGATGAATGAATCAGGGAGTGCGTGATGGGGATGGGATGGGGTAGGTTGGTCCAGAAGGAAACTGATGAGTCATAAAGACCAGCTCTTACTGAGAGTATCTCATAAGCTGGCCTCAAAGTTTGAACATTGTCACATAAGAGCCCGTGGCAGCCATAGAAGGCACTAGAGCAGAGGAGAACAGGGTCATAACTTGGGCTGTATTAAGAGCTACTTAACTGTTACATGAGGATGGATTGGAGGCTGAGTGGCCAGGGAGGAGGGTGGACTGGGAGAGGTTAAGGAAAAAAAGAACCAGGGTAGCTGAGGGGATGGAGGGGAGGGACAGGCTGGGGAGTCATCAGGAACTAGAATCTTTTGCATGCTCACCAGTGTTTCTGGGCATCAGTGCCTGGATGGTGTCAATCTCTCCACGTGTCTTTTGTTTTTTCTTTGTCTTTCTCAGCCAGCCTGCTGGCCAGTGGGATCTGCCAGGCCGCTGGCCAAATCTTCATCACCCAACTCCTAGGGGTTGAAGGATATCGAAGTATCCTGGCCCTAGAGAACATCCCCGAGAACGTCCGGGAATACACCTGGTACCGAGGTACACAGGACAGTGCAGGAAATATGATTCTCAGCTACAAACTTCCCAACTCCTGGCAGCCTGGGCCCATGCACAGTGGCCGGGAGAATGTGACCAGAACAGGTGACTTGGTGATCAAGAAGTCTATGCTAAATGACACAGGAAACTACACTGTTTGGGTGGACACTGGCAATGAAACCCAAACAGCAACTGGCTGGCTTGAGATTGTTGGTAGGTTGCCAGGTTGCCCCTTCCCCTACCCAAGGAGTATTGGACTTGAAGGCCTTGGGAGTGAGATTCCTTGGGAATCATATTGTCTAAGTCCTTTGCCCACCTCCAGATGACATGGGAGCCCTGGCAGATGGTTGTTCAGCTTCTCACACAGAGACAAGCCACTCATTACCTTTAAAAGTGTCAGTTTCTGGCTGAGCATGGTGGCTCACGCCTATACTCTCAGCACTCTGGGAGGTTGAGGCGGGTGGATTACTTGAGCTCAGTTCAAGAGCAACCTGAGCAAGAGTGAGACCCCATCACTACTAAAAACAGAAGAACTAGCTGGGCAATGGTGGTAGGTGCCTGTAGTCCCTGCTACTGGGAAGCCTCAGGAATGAAGATCACATGAGCCAAATAGTTTAAGATTTCTGTGAGCTATGACACCAGGGCACTTTACCCAGGTGGACAGAGTGAGACTGTCTCAAAAAAAAAAAATCAGTTTCTTTGTTATATAGTGCATTAGTTTCTACTTTTGCATAACAAATAGCTACAAACTTAGGAGAGCAAAACACCCATATTTCATAGTTTCTGGAGTTAAAAGTCTAAGCATAACTGAGCCAGAAGTCCAGACAAAGCTGCTTACCAAGTCTCAGAAATCATTGGCCTGAGCTGTGTTCTCATCTGGATCCTTAATTAAAGGGGAAGAATATATTTCTGGGCTTATTCAGTTGGTGGCCCAAATGATGTCCTTTTGGCTGTGTGCACTGAGGACCCCAGCTGGCTGCTCACTGACTGTCGGTTGGAAGCCCATGGATTATCAAAACCAATGCAATTCTCTGCCACGTGGCTCTGTTCACAGGTATTTCACATCATGCCTGTTTGTTTCTTCAAGATCAGCTGAATATTTCTCTCTAGTCTGGTAAGAAGGAGTCTTAGATAACAGAAGGCACCTCCTACAGTTTGGAAGCAAATTTGAGTCCCACTTGAGAAGAGTATTATAAAAAGACATAACGATAAGAGATGGAAATCAAGGAGCTGTCCTAGAGTTCTGTCTGCTACAGACAGCTCCTGGGGGCTCCACATGGTAGGAGAGGAGAGAGAGGATTTTGAGAACTACACGTCCTGCATTTGCTTCTGACTGTATATACACACTGCATAGCCTAGCAGGGGTGGGGAGCCTGCTGTCTTCTGACTTCAAGATTATTCTTTTTTAAGCACCAGAGGAGGAAATAAAAGCTTATCTTTCTGCACTCCCTTTACTAATGGGATTTGTTCTGTCAAATTTGGGTTCAGTCAAAAGGACACATTCAAGGACCTAGAAGGCCTCATGTGGCCTTAACTGCAAGTCCCCCACCCCAACCTGGGCCATTCATCTTCCCTCTGTGAAGACAGTTTCTTCATCTGTAGAGTGGGGGAAGTACCTACCACTGTAGTTTGTTATAAGGCTGGAGGGAATATTTGCAAAGTGAATAGGACTCAAATAATGGGAGCATTTATTTTATACAGTTCTCTCACTTTGAACCTGTCAGACTTGCATCCTCAGATGAGAGTTCCTGGATTTGGGGTTCAGAAGTAACCATCAGCTCATGTGTTTATGCCATGTGCTCATGATTATTGCAGCTGACACCACAGTGGTGGCCCTGGAAGTCTCACTGTCTACTCCCTACCCTTCTGCCCCTCTAGGCTCCAGGCCTTTCTCCAAGATCCCAGGCCTCGTTGTTCAGCTCTTGGTTTCTCTCCAGCATAGCCCAACCCTCCCCCGGTAGAGAAGCAGAGCTCAGGGAAGGACACACTCACCACCCCGCTAACCTTCTCCTCCTTACTGTTTCTCCCAGAGTTGGAAAGCAATCCGGGCATCTCAGTCAACGCCACCTCCCTGGTGGAGAACATGGATTCTGTGGCTGCCTACTGCCACACTAATGTCACCAAGGTCACATGGTTTGTGAATTCTGTGCCCATATCCAGCAGTAACCGGATGACAATTTCCCCAGATGGGAAGACCCTCATCGTCCACAGGGTCAGCCGCTATGACAGGACTCTTCAGTGTGTGGTGGAAAGTTTCCCAGAGATCTTTCAGAGAAGCGAGCTGATCGCCCTGACTGTGGCCTGTGAGTGATCTGGGGTCATGAAAGGGAGGTCCGGGGGTGGGCTTAGGGATGTAGCAGTAGGACAAACCTGAGCCACCTGCAGCCAGTGTCATCCATGTGGAACCTCAGGGGTTGCTGGCCCTGTCACTCTTCAGAACCATGGAGTATGTGGTTTTAAAACAGAAACCCTAATCCTTACTTTTCAGATTAGAAGTGGTCAGTGGGGTTGGAAGAGATTGGCCTTTTGGGTAAAGAGGAGACTTCTTGCAACCAATTGTTTCTTAAATTGATACTCAATTTGTTAAGTTTTCACAATCCTAGTTTCCCCTGAGCCTTCAACTTTTGCTGGGTGATTATTTATTCTGTTCTTCTAAAGTTAGTAAATCCATCGTCATTTCTTCTTTTACTCAAATTGAACTGACTATATGCCTTCAACAGTTTGATTTAAAGACTTAATTATGCATCCCACACATCTTTCTTTCTTTATAACTTGTCACCTGCTCAGCTAGACAGCTGTATAGCCCAGTAAGATCCCCTCAAAGTGTCCAGCAGGTCTTGTAACTCTAATACCTTGAAGTTAGAACTTCCAGACCTGGATTTCTTTCAATGTTCCAAGACTATTCACAGAGTGTATCAAATTCTTTCACATCGTTCAACTGAAAAAAAAAAATCACAAGTATAAAATCATTTTCCCATCTCCATCTGGAACCATTCTTGTGGGCCCACAGATTTCATGATTAGAAGGCTATGGGGACAGTCCCATGGAAGCCAAGGGCATGGTGTGGACGAATTCTGATCTCTGTGCAGCCATTTACAGGTCACAGGCTTGGAATCAAGACCTGGGATGCAGAGGCTGCCACTGTTCAGGACAACTGATCCTGAGCCCTGAGATTTGCATAATGCTTTGGTGTCAATAGGAGACTTAAACCCTTGTCCTGTCCTCTGACCCTCATCTATAAAAGGGATCAATAATGGAACCGATCACTGAGCTGCCATGGGGATTAAACCTGTGTGGGGACAGTACAGAGTTTAAAGCAGTGTCTGGAGTGTGTGGCCCCATTTGTTTGCTTCTGCTCTACACTTATTTCCTGGTGACATAAGGACGGCATGGGGTGAGCCCAGAGGAGATGCCCCATGGAAGATGATCTTATTGTTCCTGTTGTTGCTAGCACAGCTATGTTGCCTGGGCAGGTGTAGGGGTCAGCATGGAGTACAGAGCAGGGGGCCCTCCTGACTGGGGAAGGACTTCCTGGGGATTGAGGAAAGAAGATGGGACCCTGAGGATAAGAAATAGCTCCTGTCCTGTCCCTGCAGATGGACCAGACTCCGTGGTACTGAGGGCCACACCTGACATCTTCAACGGTGTCATCACTGCTAAGATCGGCTCCCAGGTAGAGATGGAATGTGTCTCCATTTCCCTTCCACCTAGCTCGTACCGCTGGACCCACAATGGCTCCCTCCTGAACCTCTCAGAGGCAAAGATGACCCTCTTGAGTCTAGCATGGGAACAGCTGGGCCGGTACAGATGTATCGTGGAGAACCCTGTGGCCCAGTTGACCTTTTACAGAGACGTCAGGATCCAACTACCTCCTGAGAGTGAGTATGGCACTCCTCCCCCCCCTCCTCCAGGGTCATGCTCCCCAAATCTCCCTGCCTCCATGCCTTTGTCTAGGAAAGAATTTGACCTTTACCTCACCTACCATGCTCACAGCTGCTGATTGAATCCTTCATCCTTTGAGATCTGGGTCCAAAGCTGCCTCCTCTGTGAATCCTCTAGAGTCCTCAGATCAGGGTCAGGGTGAACCCCAAGTGTAGGTTATGGTTACTGAGCCATTTAGCAAGTGCCTGCCTCCATCTAACATGTGAGGCCCTCACTGTCTCCCTACAGTAACTCTTATTAGCATTACCTCCACTGTACAGGTGAGAAAACTGAGCTCCACAGATTGTGAGTCCTATATTCAAGGTCTAACCAATAGAAGCATCAAGATGCAAGTACGAGCAACCTGACCACACAGCCTGTGCCCTCAGCTGCCCCCCTCACAGGGCCTCCAACATGAGGAAGTGGGAAGACTCCAGGAAGGGACAGGAGGAGAGAAGCTGAGAATTGTCATGGTCTTGGCTTTAAAACTTAGCCTAGCTGGGCACAGTGGCTCACACCTGTAATCTTAGTACTCTGGGAGGCCGAGGTGGGTGGCTAGCTTGAGCTTATGAGTTTGAGACCAGCCTGAGCAAAAGTGAGATCCTGTCTCTACTAAAAATGGGAACACTGGAGGATCTCTTGAACCCAAGAGTTAGAGGTTGCTGTGAGCTATGATGCCACAGCACTCTACCCAGGGTGACAGCTTGAGACTCTGTCTCAAAACAACAACGAAAAATCTTGGCCTGGGCCTTTATACCTTTTCAGCAGTCACATGTCCAATCTTCTGCATCATGGAGAGAGGCCAACATGCTCAGGTCGAAAGCGGAGGAACAGGACAGTGAAATTCAGGGACTCTGGAGCTGCCCTTTTGGGTTCAAATCCCAGCTCAGCCACTGCCCATTAGCATGAACCAAGGACAAGCAACTTCACCATTCTGAGCCTCAGTTTCTCCATCTGTAGTGACAAGATGATTAGAGTCCCTGCATGACAGGGTTGCTAAAAAGATTAAAGGAAACTGTGTAAGGAAGTGCATGAGATGATACTGTCCACGGCTTGGGAACTTTATTTCAGCCACACCACACAACTTCCTAAGGACCTACCCTCTGATTTGCACCTTTCCCCTGCTCTGGATCTTGAACTCTAGGAGGGCAGAGGTATGGTGAGCTTTTATTCACTGTTTATGAGTGGTGGACATGTTGCCTGGCACATAGTTGGTACTCAGTGAGTATTTGTGCAGTGAGTTCATAACCCTGTGTAGCCAGCACTGCTCCCACCCCAGGTCACTCACTATGCCCTATGAGGGTTTATTCTTCTCTGGAGCACTGATGGCTGCCTACAGTATTAGGTATCTCTTGCTTAACTATCAACTTCCCAGCTAGAGTGTCAGCCCCAGGATGGCAGGGAGTTTGTTTTATTGGAAACTGAAACCCTAGTACCTGCAATGTTTTATACATAGTAAGTGCTGAGAAATTTTTGGAACATGAAGGTCTGGGTAGGCGAATGAGTGAGTGAATGGTGGCCCTGACCCAGGTGTTGTCTCCCTCCAGAGCTTTTACCTGTGGCCCGCAGTGGTTTTTACATCTCGGGATCCCTGGTGGTATTCCTCATTGTGATGACTGTCCTGGGGAGTGTCTACCTCTGTGGAGTTCTGGTCTACGCTCTGATCAGCTATTACTCAACCAGGTACCTTTGGTGTTCTAGGTCAAGGATGGGGCATCGGCTGGGGCAGGAACTCAAGGGGTATCACACCCTCCAGGGGGAGGATGGCTGAGCCAGAAGGGAAGGAACAAGCCAGGGATGGGGTTGTCGGTATCAGCAGGGGCAGATAGGTCCGCAGGACCTGGAGCTGGTCAGAGAGGAGGAGAGATGAGAGTCAGCTCTACCTCTGAGTAACTCTGGGGTTTTATCCAGAGACTTCCCTTCTCTTCGGTAGGATCCCTTCCCTGAATTTGCATTTAAAAGTAGATATAGAGTTTTACCTAGAGGGACAGATGTGAAGATAAGAAGAGTGCATGTCAAGAATCTGGTACCTAATGGTCACTTTTTATCAAGCAAAGCTAAAAAATTGGTGACTGGTATCAAAGTCATCAATGCAGGGAGTAGAGATTGGGTGCTGGGATGACTAAGGTTTGGGTTCAAATCCCAGCTCTGCCACTAGCTGGCTGATTGACCTTGAGCAGATCACTTCTCCCTTCAGATCTTCCTTGGTCCCATTTGGAGGATGCAAAGAGCGACATCTGCCTTGAAGGGAGATGTTGGGACATGTCTTAGATAAAGAAGGATTAGCAGTCTTCTCAGCATAGAGTAGACCTGAGTTTCTCAACATCAGCACTATCAACATTTGGGTCCAGATAGTTCTTTGGTGGGAAGGTTGAGCAGCAAGGCTGTCCTGTGCATTGTGGGATGTTTAGCAGAATCCCACTTAATGCTGATAGTGAAAACCCACCATCCTTATGTAGACAACCAGAACCATCTCCAGGCTCTACAAAGATCTCATGGGTGCAGGTTTGTCCTGGTTAGTGACCACTGGAGTAGATATTAAAAACAACAGTGATACTGGTGACAATGGTGATGTTGACTGACAGCAGTGATGTTAGTGATGATGGTGATCATGATAAAGTTAGTAATAATGATGGCCATAGTGATGATGAGTGATGATGGTGACATAGTGTTGGTGATGGTGGTGACAAGGATGATGATGGTGATTACAATAATGATAGTGATCATGGCAGTATAGTGGCAAGGGTGATGGTTATTATGACAGTAATGATAATGATAGTGACAATGGTGATGTTGATGATGACAATAGAATAGTGATGATGAAGATGATGGTGGTATTGAAGATGATGTTGTTATTAATGATAGTGATAATGGTGATGATGGTGGTGATGATGATGGTGATGTTAATGATGACAGTGATGGTATTGATGATGGTTATGCTGATGGTGGCAGACACAAATGTGATATTGATGGCGATGAATATCAAATATCATGCCAAAGTTTGCCTGAGAGCTCTGGGGAGATGTACAGGACTCTGACCTATCTCAATCCTAGGCCATGCGTCCTGATGGGCTAGTAGGTAGCACCATTGTGCCCAGGAGGAAGCTAGTTTTTACTGGAGATTTCCAGAACCAGGGATTCTTTCCTTCTTACTACTAATATAGGGCAAGGATACCAGATGATTGTACACTGAGCTCCTGTTCTAAGAAAAAAGAGTCCTCATTTCTTGGGGCCAGTTTTCTCCATCTTTGTGCCCTGTGACAGCTCACTTCTTGAGGACATTCACATAGATTTAGGTGTGTGGCAGAGCAAAATTCTTCCCTATTGAAATAATTCTAATTTAAAATTTTAAACTAAATAAACATCTAACTGGAAGGTAAACTTTGAGATCAAAACTATATCAAAAGTTTATCTAAAAGCAAGATTGATCATTAAATAAGAGTTTAGTCCTGGATTTATTTAATTTAAAACTTTAAGGGAGTATCTCTAAACTGAATTATCCAATATAGTAACAAATATCCCTGTGTGGATATTTAAATACAATTAATTAAAATGAAATAAATAGAAGGAATTCTGGAAAGATAGCCGACTGGTAGCAACCCTCGGCAGAGGCTCCTGGGCAGAGGAAGAAAAACTGGACAGAATTGGACTCTATGAAGCCAAAGGTGGGGAGCTGAGCCAAGAAAGAATTTCAGCAAGCTGTAACTTTAAGGAATGACATACAAGAAAACAAATTGTAGGTACAAAGCCTATCCACTAGAGGATGGGAGACCCCCTCCCTCAAGTAGGAGGCTTGCAGCAGATTATCTGTGAATGAGCAGGAACAAAAGACCTCTCATTTTACCTCAGTGGAGAGAGCTGCTAAACTCCAGGTCTCTTTCTCTAGGGAGAAGAGATTCTTGAAACCCTCTCTATTGAGCAGGGTTTGCACTGCCTGAGACAATTTAATGGGAACCATTGTCTCGGGCTGTCCACTTGGGGACATTCTGAGGTTGACCTTTGAAGTTCTGTAGTGGAAAAGAACTGAAGGGTGGGGGCTGGGCACTGCAGCTGTTTGTGTCTCCTCACAGTCAAGATTTAAACCTAATACTGTGGTTTCTTTCTCTTATGAACCTAGACACCACTCTGCCAGGCATAAAATTGAACAGATTATTTTCCCCCATACTAAACTCCCAGTCCACCCTCCACCCCTCACATGGCTGTCTGAAGTTCTGCCCCCTGCAGAGCACAGAGTGTTTGGTCTTCTCCTGAGGGATCTGGGCATAGTGTGGACCAACAACCATCAGGACAGAATCTGTGACTAATGGTGAAGAAAAAGAGTGTGGGAAAAAAGGGACACCTGGTGGGAGAAGAAACAGTAGCCTGGTTATGACTATGCCTGGCCAGTGGTGGTGTTGACCCTCCATTCAGGCTGTGTCTGGCAGGACAGGGTGAAGAACCTCCAGCTCTGATGGCACCCACAGTGGGAGAGTGGTTGCCCATGTGGACTGAGTTCAGCAGACAGGGCTGGTCCCCAGCCCCTGCTGGGCCTGTGAGCAGAGGCTTGCTAGGCATAGACTGAGACCTAAAAGCAAGGGCATGGTCCCCCGATTCTAACAGAACCCTCAAGCAGTGGCGTACTGGGTGTGAACTAAGACCTGAGGGCTAGGGCATGTTCCCCTGTCTCCAGCAGGGCTGGTGAGCAGAGGCTTACTGGGTAAGGAGTGAGATCTGAGGGTGGGATATGACTCTAATGGAGCCTGCGAACAGAGGCTTGCCAGGCAGTGGTCTGAGACTGGCAGGCAGGGGCATGGTCCCCTGACTCCAACTAGTCTGGCAAGCAGAGGCTAGCTGAGTGTGGACTGAGACCAGTGGGTGGGGGTATGGCCCTGGCTCCAACTGGGCCTGTGTTGGAGCCAGGGCCACACCCCCACCCACTGGTCTCAGTCCACACTCAGAGAAGTCAACTTCTCTGCTCAACAGTGTGGACTGAGTCTGGCAGGCAGGAGTGTGAATCTCTGGCTCCAATTGTGCTGTTGGAGACCCTTGAAACCCTCTCTGTTGAGCAGGGTTTGCACTGCCTGAGACAATTTAATTGGAACCTATGTCTGGGGCTGTTCACTCAGGGACATTCTGAGGTTGACCTTTGAAGTTTTGCAGTGGAAAAGAACTGAAGGTTGGGGGCTGGGCACTACAGCTATTTGTGTCTCCTCACAGTCGAGATTTAAACCTAATATTGTGGTTTCTTAGGATAAGATAGAGTTTGACTGATATCAAAACAGAGCTAGCTTGTGCTATCTCACCAAGTAGGTCCTCAGAGTCTCTGGCCAAAACTCTGAAGGGGGCCTTTGTAAGGTTGTAGGAGATAAGCCACAATTACAAAGCCTAGCACTTTGATAAGGGGCTATCTCTACTACCTGAGAACCCCAATTCAATCTCACCCTACCAGTTCGAATAGCCAAATGGTTAACATGAATAACCAGAGTAGATCAACACCCCCCCCCCAAGAAATGACAAAGGAGATACAACTGAAGATGCCATGCGTAGACAAATGTCAGAAATAGAATTCAGAATATGGATGGCAAATAAGATAAATATAATGGAAGAAAAGATAGAAATTGAATTCCAAAGAGTAGTTCTAAAGTTGTGTCAAAAAATTAATGAATTCAAATCCCAAGTCACCGGCTCGGCGCCTATAGCTCAACCGGCTAAGGCGCCAGCCACGTACACCAAAGGTGGCGGGTTTGAATCCCCAGACCCGGACCCGCCAAACAACAATGATGGCTGCAACCAAAAAATAGCCGGGCGTTGTGGCAGGCGCCTGTGGTCCCAGCTACTTGGGAGGCGGAGGCAGGAGACTCGCTTGAGCCCAGGAGTTGGAGGTTGCTGTGAGCTGTAATGCCACGGCACTCTGCCCAGGGGGATAGCTTGAGGCTCTGTCTCAAAAAAAAAAAAAAAAAAAAAAAAAATCCCAAGTCACCAAAGATATGGACATAATGAGAAAAGAGATAGCAGAGCTCAAGGAAATGAAAAATTAGTTGAGGAACTCCAAAATATAGTAGAATCTCTCAGTAATAGAGTTGACCAGGCAGAAGAAAGGATCCCAAACACTCAAAGAGGCAGACAAATGGAGAGCAAAATCTGATCATTCCCTCAGAGAGTTGTGGGATCACTCCAAAAGATCAAACACTTGTCTTATAGAAATTCATGAAGGAGAAGAGGATGATCCTAAAGGTACAGATGCTCTACTCCAAGAGATTTTGGAGAATTTCCCAAGCATTGCGAGAGATACAGAACTTCAGATAGCAGGCAGTTTCAGAACCCCAGCAAGACTCAATCCAAACAAAGCATCTCCTAGAGACACTGTGATTAACTCTGCCAAAGTTAAGATGAAGGAGAAAATTCTGCAAGCATTCAGACATAAGAAAAGCATCACCTACAAAGGGAGAAGTATCAGAATGAGTGCAGATCTCTCAGCTGAAAAGTTTTAAGTCAGAAGAAGATGGTCATCGACCTTCAATCTCCTAAAACAAAACAACTTTCAGCCCAGGATCCTGTATCCAGCTAAACTGAGTTTCATTTGTGATGGAGAAATCAAATACTTTAATGACATAGACATGTTGAAGAACTTTGCCAGCTCTCCAGGATATTCTCAGACCCACCCTCCACAATGACCAGCACATTGCTCTACCTCCAAAGTAAACTCACCTAGAAATTTTTGAACAAAACCCAACTTCCACAGTGGTGAAAGGATTAAAAATGTGCACTGGACATCTGAAAATCATGACACAC